CAGATACAGATACAGATACAGATACAGTACGATACAGATACAGATACAGATACAGATACAGATACAGATCAGATACAGATACAGAATACAGATACAGATACAGATACAGATACAGAGTACAGATACAGATACAGATACAGATACGATACAGATACAGATACAGATACAGATACAGATACAGATACAGATACAGATACAGATACAGATACAGATACAGATACAGATACAGATACAGATACAGATACAGATACAGATACAGATACAGATACAGATACAGATACAGATACAGATACAGATACAGATACAGATACAGATACAGATACAGATCAGATACAGATACAGATACAGATACAGATAAGATACAGATACAGATACAGAAGATACAGATACAGATACAGATAGATACAGATACGATACAGATACAGATACAGATACAGATACATATACAGATACAGATACAGATACAGTACAGATACAGATACAGATACAGATACAGATACAACAGATACAGATACAGATACAGATACAGATACAGATACAGATACAGATACAGATACAGATACAGATACAGATACGATACAGATACAGATACAGATACAGATACAGATACAGATACAGATACAGATACAGATACAGATACAGATACAGATACAGATACAGATACAGATACAGATACAGATACAGATACAGATACAGATACAGATACAGATACAGATACAGATACAGATACAGTACAGATACAGATACAGATACAGATACAGATACAGATACAGATACAGATACAGATACAGATACAGATACAGATACAGATACAGATACAGATACAGATACAGATACAGATACAGATACAGATACAGATACAGATACAGATACAGATACAGATACAGATACAGATACAGATACAGATACAGATACAGATACAGATACAGATACAGATACAGATACAGATACAGATACAGATACAGATACAGATACAGATACGATACAGATACAGATAAGATACAGATACAGATACAGATACAGATACAGATCAGATACAGATACAGATACAGATACAGATACAGATACAGATACAGATACAGATACAGATACAGATACAGATACAGATACAGATACAGATACAGATACAGATACAGATACAGATACAGATACAGATACAGATCAGATACAGATACAGATACAGATACAGATACAGATACAGATACAGATACAGATACAGATACAGATACAGATACAGATACAGATACAGATACAGATACAGATACAGATACAGATACAGATACAGATACAGATACAGATACAGATACAGATACAGATACAGATACAGATACATGATACAGATACAGATACAGATACAGATACAGATACAGATACAGATAAGATACAGATACAGATACAGATACAGATACAGATACAGATACAGATACAGATACAGATACAGATACAGATACAGATACAGATACAGATACAGATACAGATACAGATAACAGATACAGATACAGATACAGATACAGATACAGATACAGATACAGATACAGATACAGATACAGATACAGATACAGATACAGATACAGATACAGATACAGATACAGATACAGATACAGATACAGATACAGATACAGATACAGATACAGATACAGATACAGATACAGATACAGATACAGATACAGATACAGATACAGTTACAGATACAGATACAGATACAGATACAGATACAGATACAGATACAGATACAGATACAGATACAGATACAGATACAGATACAGATACAGATACAGATACAGATACAGATACAGATACAGATACAGATACAGATACAGATACAGATACAGATACAGATACAGATACAGATACAGATACAGATACAGATACAGATACAGATACAGATACAGATACAGATACAGATACAGATACAGATACAGATACAGATACAGATACAGATACAGATACAGATACAGATACAGATACAGATACAGATACAGATACAGATACAGATACAGATACAGATACAGATACAGATACAGATACAGATACAGATACAGATACAGATAGAGGTAGAGATAAATCAAATCGATTGGCCTACTCACCGTGGGATCCTGACAGCGCGGGCATTGGCACATGAAGTGCTTGGTCATGCCGAGGAACATTTTGCGCGCCAGCGTCGACCAGAGCAGCTTGGCGTATGACATGGTTATCTCGGCGCCGAGCGGTATGCGCTCCGTGGCGGTGACCACGATCGTCTCGCCGTCCTCGAAATGATGCGCCGCATTCGGTGTGCACTGATGGTTGAGCATGCCGGCGAGCGGGAAGAGGGCGCGCGCCACCACCTCCCGGCCATCCACCTGGCAGCGGCTCTCGAAGGCGTTCGTATTGAATGCGCAGACGGTGCGATAGAAATACTCCAGCATGTCCTGTTCGCGCGGAAAGTGCTCAAAGCACTCGGCCGCCCGCTCCACCTCGCGCATATAATAGCGATCCGCGTTCGCCTGCATCGCGTAGAGCAGCTTGCGCTGCGTTTCGTTCAGGAAGAAGCAGCGCACCACGCTGAGAATGCGCAGGGCGCGCGGATCGATGCGGCTGGGATCCTTCGGCTGCCATTTGCGGAACAGCTGGCACTCGACGGCATGCCGAGGCGACGCCACACAGTCGCCGCAAACGGGCAGGCCACAGCCGGCGGTGCAGAGGGCCGCAGCATCGCTGTCCTCGCCGGCCGGCTGGCGATAGCATTGGGTGCAGGTGCGCAGGTTGCGTCCACGATGGGCGGTGGGTCCGACGAGCAGCGTGCGCTCACGGAAGAGCAGCTCGCCCTGGGCAATGTCGCGCACGGCGAATATGCCGCGACCCGAGATGGGCGAGTCGGCCACACGCCAGGCAGGCTGCGCCGGACGCAGTTCACCCAGATGCGCATCGATAAGCGCGGCCAGCTCCTGCGTGGAGGCGCCTATGGCCATCTGCGGCACATCCCGCCCGAGCTGCTGCTCCAACTGTGACATGACCCCGTTACACTGCGGTTGCTCAATCGAATCGAATCAAATCAAATCGTAGCGAATCGAATCGCTTTCTCTCTCACGCTGGCGCCGTCGATAATCGAATCGCAACTGACGCGTTCCCAATTCCGTGGCCATCGCTGCCGCTGCCAATGCCGCTGCCACTGCCGCTGCCGCAGTCGGTGTCGGTGTCGGTATCGCCGTTTGCTTCTCAGCATCTCTCCCAGCATTGTCCGCATCTCATTGCTGCTCTGCGCGCTCCGCTTGCTCGCCATGGAGGCCGTAACAGGCAGCTATAATTAGTTGCCATGCTCCGATTTCCCAATTTCCAGTTTTTCCGCACCGCTGGCGGCGTCAACCAACCAACCACACTCTACCTACCCCTCTCCTCCCTCCACACCAGCACACTGTGTATTTTGTGTCAGCCTGAAAGTAGGCAACACTTTTGTTGCGCCGCCCACGCGCTGCAACACGAAACCCTGCGTATACGCAACGGCCATAAATTACGTATACGCAGCATCAGGTGCTCCGCTGTGGTTCATTTGGGGTTATTCTTGTGTGGCAGCTGCTCCTGGAATAAACTAGATTTAAAGCCGAGTTCATTTAAGCAATTTTCTATGCCGAACAAATACACGCACACACACACACACACATGTGTATGTTTTCTGTGTGTGGCCAATATTATTTGGCCAAATCTAAATTTAAGTGTTCAAGTGGCAACTGCCCGACTTTAAGATACCCTGTACCCAGCTTAATTTTACACATAACATCTCATTAATGCTGGGAACTCTTTCTTCAGTTGGGAGAAATATCGATGTATGCCTACAAAACTACAAAATCCAAAGGCTTTAACTTTCAAATATAGATATAATTTTATATGCTCAACACAAAAAGAAAAAGAAGAATTATATTCCATAGCTCTATTCGTGTTCATAACATCGATAGCTATCGATTTTACGATAACTACTTTCATGTTTATAATACCTATAACTATCGATTTTGCGGATAACTCCTTTAGTGTTAATATTATTGATATTCAGATTTGTTCGATAACTCTATTAACGATAGCTATCGATTTTTTTCGATAAATCCTTAAATGTTTATAATACCGATAACTGGCGATGTTTTCGATAATTCCTTTAATGTTTATATTTTAATGTAAATAACTAAAGATTGCACGATAGCTCATTTAATGTTCATATTACCGATAACTAATGATATTGCAGATAACTCCTTTAAAGTTTCGATTTTTTTCAATATAATACTTGACTTTTGGAAAAAGCTAGAGCCTTGCAACTTGGAATAAACATAATTTCTAATGATTTGATAAAACTTTGAAAATGCCATAAAGGGAATAAATATAATTCATTTGTATATATGAAAATTCTGGGACACTCAGAAGAGGCTTAGCGACATATGAATGGTATATAGCGTATTACCCTTAAGATCTGCATAGAATTCATAACACTCGATATTTAGTTTTATTTCAGTTATTTTTGTTGAACATGACACTTAACGCGTTGATCAATTTGGGCTTAGTTTGTTAAGGGCAACTACTTCTAGTTAAAACTATGCAAGTACAATGTGAATTGGCCACTCATTCAGATATATATATATATATATATATATATATATATATCCCGTATAGTCGCTCATTTTTCAAGTTAGTCAAATTTCAATTAACAAATTTGTTTTTCGAATCATGGAGCTATTTAAATGCAGGCTTTTGTTATTATTCGAATTTTTTCAAATTGTTTTCTTTTCATGTTTCTCAAGATTTTCAATTTGCTTTATATACATTGCAGCTGTATGTGTGTGTGTGTGTGTGTTTATGTATATGTATGTACATTTATTTATTGCACGCCTTAAACATTAGCTCTATAAATATATATTTAAAAAAAAAGAAGAGAAAACAGATAAAAGTTAAACAAAATAAACAAAAATACAAACAGAAATTCTAGAAATTTTCAAACAAAAATCGAACATTTTCTGCGATATTTGGGTTTTTCTTTTCTTTTCGTTTTTTGAAGCAGAGCACATAATAAATAAATGTGTGTGTGTGTGTGTGTGTGTTTGGAAGAGTTAGCAGAAGTAGATAACGGGCATTACAGGTATTGCAGGTATTAATATTAAAGTAGCATCAAATGTTTTAAGATTAGTTTAGTTTTTATGCTACACAAGGCACAAGGATTGGATCGATTTTGGCCACGCTTGTTGCCAAGACTCTGTGTGTGTGTGTGTGTGTTTTTGGACATCTAGTACTGATACCAGGGCTGGCGGCGCACCCATTGCAGTCGATTGCTGGTCTGATCGGAGCGGATCTTGATGCTGGCTCCCTCCGCAGCGCGCACCGTTTCCTTGACCTGGTTGGAAGAGGATGGCAATCAGATTAGTTCAGATATTTTGTATATTAGCGGGCTATTTTTTGGCTTTGCCTGTGTCTGTGTGTGATTCTTTTCTATTTCAAGAAAACTCTTCCACCTAGTTAGAAACTAACTTTTATAATAAGTTGTCACCCACACAAACTTTGACATCCGTTTTCCATTTAGAGAAATTTGAAAAACATTATCATACAAGAATTTCCCGCGAATTTTCTGAACTAGCAATTGAATTTTTCATGTATTCATCAAAGCTTCTATGTAAAGCTTTGCACGAGACCATTTTCCACTCGAAGCGGTGGATTCGTTGAAAGGTGTGAAATACGTCTCAAATGCATTTTGTAAAAGATCTTTGAAAAGGCGTTTAAAGCTGATCGGTTGGTGGCCTATAAAAATGTTTCCGACAATCGTTTGCCAAAAATGGAATCTACATGTGCTTGGAATTATCCAAAATCACGACTGAGCGTGGAATTACAATGTGCTCGCTTTCACAGATTGGATTCTACGTTAAACAACAGTCTGTCAATCAGTCAGTCAGTTAATCAGGTCAAGCCGTTTTATAGTTGCAGCCTGCCAGGCCGGCTACTCACGCTCTGCATTAGATTCTGGGCATTGCCCACCAGCATTTCGGTTGCCTCGCGATCCTCATCGGAGCCCTGGGCGCCAAGCATGGTCGCCTTCACGGTGGACAAGATCTTGAGCTGCGTGCCAATTGTCGGTATGCGTTCGCACACCTGCAGCAGATTGGTGCGGATGCGTCGATCCGTGCACTGACGCGCCAGCTCCTTGGCCAGCCGTGTCACATCCTCGGATGCCTCGGCGATCTTCTTGGCCGTCGCAATCAGCTCACGCTTGCTGCCGCGCGAATCGGATAGCACCAGTTCGCTGAGGCGTGCCATCAGTATGGCCATGCGCTTGGCGGCCGCAATGATCTCGTTATCCTTGGATGACCACTGACGCACCTCCTGGTGCAGGCCACGTGCCGCAATCTGTAAATGGATTCGCATTGATTAGCGACTCTCACGGCAATGCCATGCTAGCGTATGGATCACTTACCAGTATGGGCTGATTGGCGTGCGGCATGGTGCGGAAAACGCCCTCATCCTCATCATCCGTCTCCGGAGGCGGTGGACGCACGGGCGCCAGTCCCTCGCGCGGCAGTGGTGGACGCGGTGGCGCACGCTCCGCTGTAAGAGACAGAGAGAGAGAGAGAGAGAGATAGTTTAGTATTGGCTGGCTGATTGAAATGCATTGGACTCACCATTCTGATTGGAGAGATGCAGAGCACTGAGCTCCGGTATGGGCGGCGGCAGCGATGTGGGCAATGGCGGCGGCTGCGGCGGTGCAATGGCATCGCGCACCTCGCGCACATCGCCGAGCAGTCGCTGGAATGATTTCTTCCAGGCGGCAGCCGCAGCGGGATCGGCTATATTGGTGGCCACCAGCTTGGCATCGCCGACCATGGCGGGCAGTGAGCGTTCCAGATTGTTGGCGGCAGCATTTAGACGCTCCGTAAAGATCGGATCCTCTGAATTGTCCGCCTCCTGTTTGGCCACCAGCAGCACACGATTAATGAGTCGCGCTATATTTGAGGTATTATCGACCATCTTCTGCGGCTGGCGCGCATGGATGGCGTCCTCGCAGAGCTTGGCATACACCTGCATATGCTCCTCGGAGGTCTTGATGAAATCGGCCGGATCGGTTGCCTGGTCGCACAGCGTGCGCATCCGTAACACCGTGTCCGCATACTGTTGCTTCAGGTTCTGCAGATGCTCATCGGCCGCCTTGCTGGCCGGATAATTCATGCGTATGCGTCCGGCATTGATGAGCTGCGGCGTCAGCGAGTCCACCTGTGCGGCAGAGGAGAGCAGAATTTCGGCGATCTTCTTGTTGCCGCAGGCGCCGCCAGCGGCGACCATGCGCGACGTCTTCGAGGCGCGATCACTGAACGCCTGCAGATTGTTGGACTTCTGATTGAAGTTCTGTTCGCGTCCGGGTGTGCCCTCCGGCAGCATGACCGCCTCGGTGAACTGCTTGAGGGGCGTGCTCACGTCCATAAAGTCCTGCACAATGCGATTGACCAAAGCATTCTGTATGGCCGCCTTTAGCTCGTAAAGCTTTTGGGTGAGCTGCTTGGCCGCCTGTTTGGCAGCTGGGCCGGTGCCCGCGGCTTGGCGCTTGAGACGCTCGACCTCGTCGCACAGCTGCATAATCTCCGCCTTCTGATGGCCCGGACAGCCTTCGGCGACCTTGCGACCCTCCTCGACAATCAGATTGATGGCCCGCTCGCCGAGGCCGCCATCATTGAGCTCCGGATTCTGCAGCCATTTGACCGCCTGCTCCAAGCGGCCCTGAATCGTGTGGGCGGTCTGCTGTACGCCCGCCTTGTCCACGCCGAGCACGGCCTGACGCACCAGACCCTGCAGCTCGCCGAGACGTGCACGTATGCCATTGGCCAGGCCGATAGCCTGTGGGGAGTTGCCTTTGCCCTCGTGCCGCAGCTCGCACAGATTATTGGCCATGGCGCTAATCTCATCGGCCAGCTTGCGTATGGGATAGGAGTCCTGGGGCAGGCAACGCTCCGAGATTTCGTTGGCATTATCGATGACCTGACGCAGCGCCTTCTCGCCGACGCCGCCGCGCAGCGCATACGGATTCGATAGCCATTCGTTGGCCAGCTCCATTTTGTTGCTAATCGCATTGCTCAGCTTCTTCAGCACCGTCAAATTGTCCAGTTCGCTGGTGTCCTCGTCGTAGGTGGTCAGCTGCAGGACGCGTATGATCTCCTGCAGTTCATCGCTCATGCGTGCCGCCAGATAGTTGCGATTCTCGGCGGCCTCCTCGGCGCCCTTGCCCTGCTGCTCGACAATGTGTATGTAGACCTTCATGCTGCAGATGAGTATGGGCGCGAGGGTCTTCACCTGCTCGAGGCAGCGCACCAGTATCTCGCTGTGCACCTGATGGGTTAGCTCCTTCTCGCGGGCGCCGACCTCGCGCGACACCTTGCCAAGGCAGGGCGACAGATCCTTGAAGAACTTAACCAGATCCTCCATGGTGCCAATCACCTCGGCAACGGCCAGATAGTCAAGGACACGCTTGCACTCCTGTATTATCTTGCGCACCTCGCTCTCGTCGAAGCAAAGCAGCAGCGAGGAGGTGCCCTGCAGTATGCCGCGGCTTCCCTCAATCAGCTTCTTGCGCGCCGGCCCCGAATAGGGATCCGCGCGCAACATATCCGAAGCCTCCTCGAGCAACTGCGAGGCAGTCTCCACGCGATGCAATGCCGACGGCATATCCTGTCTCAATATCTTGTCGTCGGAGCTGTTGATCGTCTCCCGGCCGACCTTCACCAGATTCGCCACCGCCGCCGAGACCACCTGCACCGGCCGGCTAAGATCGGGCATGGCATTGCCATCCTCGGCCTCCTCGTGTAATATAACCAAGCGAGATACCTAAACGATATTACACAAAAGTTTGCTTCAATTACTTAACTGAAATACTATAAAAGCTCGAAATGAAATCAAATTTCTAGCGAGTCAGTGAGCTTAAAGCTCGAATACAACTTAAAGCTTTGCGTGTTTTTCTTAAAGCTCGTCAGTGTAGACAACTCAAAGCTTTCGTCTTTACAATTTAATTAAATTGCAAACACTTTTGTGAGCTTTAAGCTCTTAAAGATTTGAGTGCTTGCCTTAAAGCTCTTCTGTATAGACAGCGTTTACTCAGACTCAAAGCTTTGTGATTACAATTTATAATTTGAATTAATAAGCATTGCTCGACGAGCTTTAAGCTCCTGCGAAGCCTTAAGATTTCTGTGCTTGTCTTAAAGCTCTTGTTTATTGAATGCTTTAAGTGCTAATAATTGTATTTGTTGATGAATTACGAGAAATCAAAGCTTTTCGAGACCTCAACTCGAGGTACAAATAAAACGAATCGCACTTTGTGTATATATATTTGTATAATCTAATATATTCTCTTTTTGGCAAACTTCCATTTTAATTTAATAATGTACACTTTTCTACAGGGTATCCTTATCGTCTTGTACTCATTATGTAATATAACTAATTTTCACTACTTTACAACACTTATTTCGTGTGTTGCTCGCCCACAAATCACATTTTCAAATGACGTTTGCAGCAAGTGCCATGACGTCATAGGCAAAAACATAGCTGTAATCGCACTCGCGCTCTCTCTCTCACTCTCGCTCTCTTTCATTTTGTGTCTCTCTTTTAGTGTGCTTGACACACACACACACACACACAAGTCCATAAAGAGACACACAGAAACTAGAAAGAGAGACCGCCAAATAAAGCGTGGGACTCGGACTTGGACTTGACATCCCATCGAAAAATCGGAAATCTGCGAACGGAGATCGACGGAGAACTTGTTTTTGCCTGTTTCATTTTACTATTACTATTATTGGCTGGCTATTTTTAGACATGAACTGTTTGTTGTACGTTAAGCTAGATACCCCCCCCCCCCCCCTTCCCACCACTCTTCTCTTCCGCCCACACCAAATGAGTCTCAGCTGATTCCGAGACAGGTGTCTGTGGTAAAAGCTGCTCTGTTAACTGGAATTCAGGGCGATCTTTTGCTATTCCATAAAATAGGCATAATTCTTGTCTAACAAATAATACTTTTTATATAATTATGCGCTGTACACAAAGTGCAAACGAGTCTGTGGACTTTTTAGTTATCGGAGTTTCCTGCCAAAAGTCACAGTTTGAAAGTCACGACTGGCCGTTTACAGTTTTAGAGTCACGTAGAAACTAGAAACTGGAGCTTTGCCTATAGCTGCAGATAATAATAAATATATATATAAAAATGTATCTATATATATATATTCCAGACTGATCAATCGAAAACACATTTATTATATATATAAAACCCATTCTAAATACTTTATAGCTCGAATTGTTACACTTTATAAGAGAATATGGGAATATTTGTTTGCCCTTTCTACTATATTATATAGATGAATTGGAAGAATCGGTCGAAAAATGAGTTTTTTGTATGGCAAAATATTCTGTTTTTTCAAGATATTATCTTATATATTATTCTTATATATTGCATCAAGTATCAGACAAACCTCAGTTGCTCGTTGTATATCTATGAATGAATCAAATATTTTTGCAATGCTTCTGCTTTAGTCTAAATACTCTATATTACTGACATCGAACTACTATAGCCAATTGTTCCTAAATAAGGAATCGGTTGAACCTGAGTTAGGGTATTTCAAATGCGGCTCCAAGTCCAATCCCCATCGCAATCCCAATTCCCTGGCAACACATGGTCAACGCACTTGCTTAATTTAGCTGCGGGCATTTGCTTCGTTAATTAATTATGTAATTAATTTGATAAACCAACTAAACCCCCCCCCCCCCAATCCCCACCCTCCTCCCTCCCCATGGACTTGCTGGCCTAACGTTTGCACCATCTGTGGCTTCAGTTGGGACATTTGCTGACCAATTTGGCGGCGGGCATCTAAATTTAAACAAACCATCTCATTATTTAAGTGTAGCGCAGTCTGCATGTGTGAGCCTACATGTGTGTGTGCGTGTGTGTGCGTGTGTGTGTGTGTGTGTTTCAATGTGTTGATTGATGTGCTGAATGATTAATATACCCTTGCCGAGGGTATTATAATTTTGTCACGCAATATGTAATGCATCTCAGAATATATATAAATATATATATATATATATGTTCCTGTTCAATCAGCCGATTTGTCAATCGCAATCAATCAATCTCAATGCCATGAAACATGGCCGGCTTTCAATATACTGAAGATCCTTTCATATAAATATGAATCTGGCCAGGATCGGGCCATAGATCTGGACGATCGACAATTAAGTTCTGGCTATATATTGTTGATCCAGCTTGGCATTTACGAGTCTCAACTTCCATCTACTTCTACTTTTGATTATACCTATATCACATAGCTCTAGCCCTAGAAATTTAGATCTAAAAGGAGTTTATCTATAGATCTTCTTTGACAAATATCCTGCAATTGTAATCGGTCTACTATAATATATAAAGGCTTCTATTGGAACAATCGATCGCCATTTGTATGAAAACATTTTGTTGCCTAGGCAAGAGTATTCAATCTTCGGCGTGTCGTTGAAAGCTTTGTGTTTCTTTTCTTTTTTCTCCTGTTTTTGGATTGTTTTGTTTGCATTTCGTCCGCCATTCATCCGCCTCCGGCCCCTATCATGATCCAACCCCCCCCCCCCCCCTTCTCCCGCTTCCCCCGCCAGCCGCTAACATGGGCGATGAGTCACAGTTTGAGTTTGCTTTTTGGCACAATTTTTGGCTCAACTATAATCTTCAGTCAGCCGCATCAGCACCTAAATACACCTACACGTACACCTTGCCTTTGCTACCAACCCCGCCCCCCCCCTACGCCAACGCTGCCCCCCCTAGCCCAGCCCTAGGGCGGGGCTGTTACGTTTCATCAGCTCGAAACGGCTTCCACATGTTGCCACAAAGAGAATTTTCTTTAGCTTCTCTTTGACGCAATGATTTCATGATTTCCTTTGGCTTTTGGCTCGTAAATGTTTTTATTTTTAATTTGTTTTTTTGGATGCAGCTATTTTTGGATTCCCACGAATCTCTCTTGAGCTCTCTGGCGTCTTGTTTTTGTTTTGTTGCTAACAAATTTGTTGGCTTGCTGTTTTATTAAATTAACATTTTTTGTGTGTCGTCAGGCTCAAGTTGTTGTGATATCTCGGCAGAAGCAGAAATCTTCTTCTGTTATTATTATTATGATTTTCCACCTTGTTTATTTTTAGACCCTACAAAATGAGAAAAGGCAAGCGGAAGAAGAGCAAGCAGCAGCAGGCAAGGAACATGAACGCATCTTAAAGTCTGCTTCTGTATAGTCTATATGGATATTGCTATAGATATTTATATAGTATAATACTATAACTACACATGTTACACAGCTGTGCTGCCTTTCCTCATATGCAATATATAACTTTTATCAAGATATTATGATTGAACAGTCGTAAATTCGCGCCTCGATTGAGCCTAACGCCAAGCGCAGCCAACTTAATGCGCCTGTGCAGTTATTTGGTGCTGCCAGATTGTCAAAATATGCAATTTAACAGTGTAACCATATTAAATATAGGTCAAAATCAACAAAGCTCTAGCGTCTACTGTCAGTCATATAAGTATTTTGCTAAGATTACCGGAATACACAGGTTCTACCACAATAATGAAATAAAGAAAATACAAATCAAAATGAAGAACTTTAGAGAATAAACCGAATTTCAATAAATCAATTGAAATGTCTAGAATAAACTATGAACTATCCAATTCTACGATGTTAAATACAGCGAATACAGTGATCGCTCGAGCATTACAATGTCCAGATAAAAGGGAACTACATTCTTTTTGATAGTTTTCTTGCAGCTTTCAAGCCTTCTAAGTTTGATCTATGGCCATTACAATTGCGATATAATTTGATTTCTGTTTTTCTTGGGAGTACATAAACTTGAATTGTGTTTCAATTAGCGAGCAATCACTGTAATATGCCGCTAGAACTAATTTCAATACACTTTCAGTTATAAAATTATTTGAATTCTTCTGAATTTACCTTCTTGGGCGCCAATTTGCACGCTTGTTATAGCTATATATAGTAGTGTTATATATATATAAAGAAGATGTTACAGTATTTTAGGCACTTCTTAAAATTAAACCTTGACTAACTAAAGTACATTTAACAGACGCTTACCTGCTGGGCAACAGGATCTAATATGCTCTCGATTGTTTTTGTGTGAAAGACGGGCATTTTAGTAACTGCTTTAGCTCCTTTACTGTGTGTGTGTGTGTGTGTGTGTATGTGTGTGTGTGTGTGTGTGTGTGTGTGTGTGTGTGTGTGTGGATGGGTGTATAAATAAAGGTTTGGGTATCTCAGATATCCTTCACTGCCAAGCCAATTCTATGAGATCTGCAAGAGAGAAGAATATTAGTTAAATATAAATACTTATTCATGCATACTTCATCTTGATTGTGTGTGCGTGTGTGTGTGTGTGTGGGTGTGTGTGTGCGTGCGTGTGTGTGTTATCTAGACAGGCTGTAGATTCAGGTCGTAGATAATGCGAGACGACCACCTGTTGAAGCATAAGAGGCTACACTCGGAGAAACAATCAAGTAAATATGGGCTTAAATCAAGCATCAAATCGGAAAAGAACAACTTTTCTGTGGACTTTTTTTTAAGAAATAATCTAAACTCATACGAATCTGGAAATTATTGTGCTGCCTTCGAGAATTTTGGTAGCTTTTAACAAGCAGAAGGCAAATTCTTGCTTTAAGATTAAGATTAAGAAAAATAGCGTAAGTTTTTTGAACAGACTTAAAATAAGCTTTTCTCAAATTATATTATTGATGTTTATAGGCGAAATTGTGAATTAAATCGAAATCTGTCGCATAGTTAAAACAAGTTTGGTTTCTTTTCTCCCAGTGTACACACTATCGCCCCCATATCTAGGCATTGCGAAATTCCATTGAAGCTGTCTCCAATGCATTCAAATTCTTCTGAAATTCTTCAATTTTTCGACTTTTCTGTATTTCGATTTAATGTGCTTGCCGTGCAACTGTTTCATTAATGATGACGCACACTGTGAGCTCATTGTGAGACATTTTGGTGACCAGCTGGCCAGGGGCGGGGCGGGGCGGGGCGGGGCGGGGCGGGAAGAGGGACCGGTACCAGACACAACACTGATGACGCACTGTCTCTCTCTCTCTCTCTCTGTGGGTGTGTGTGCAGTTTTTAGTGCGCGACTTTGCGGCATTATTGATAGTTCGATTTCCACACCCTTTGCTAAGACTCGTAATTGGCCATGATTTACGGTGAAAGTGTGGAAAAGTGTGGCAAGAGCCAAAATGGCATTGAAAATGCGAGACAGGTGGCTGCCATTGGGGGTGTGCGTGTGTATGCGTGTGGGTGTGTGTGTGGGCGTGTGTGTGCGTGTGTGTGTCGTCTACTTTGAAGCAAACTGGCGCCAAGGTGCTTTGAACCAAGCACCTTGCTAGAAGCAAAACAAAAAACTTGAACACAATGTGCCACTGATCGACTGCACTGAAAAAAACAAACGGGTTGCAAGTAACTAATAAAAAAAGAGTTCAGTTAATAACACAATTAAAGCCTGATCGAACATGGATCAAAGGCTAATGTATGCGCGAATAGCTTCGGTACATAAAGTCCGATCTTTAGAGAAAGTATCGAAATATTATATATACATATTCTATTTGTTATTCATGTTTCCTTCGAAAACCATTCTGTAACTATTTACTAGACTTGGATTTACACATATATTTTATAAAAGTAAAACAAATTAAAAAATTCAATAAATTATATATATTCAATAATATGAATTTGTATTTCTAGCATATATATTTGAAGCAGATTTAGCATGCAAATTGGCAGCTAAAAGAAATCTGTTTTTCATATGCATATATGTAATTCTCTATTTGCGCATTTTTTCGCGCAGTGCACCCACAAATATTGAACAAACGGGCATGTATATCGATATTCGAACAAATATAGGAATGTGCGCACACTTCCAGTATATAATGAATGCCACTTATGGCGTTTAGTTTGCAACAACAGAAATGATCCCAAAAACAAAAACAAAACGAAATAGAAACTTAAAATTCATACACATACTTTTTGCTGTGTGGGACGTGGGTTTATTGACTGACTGCTGCCATTTATGGTCAAACAAATTGTTGCAACTAATATGCCATACAATAAATACATACATACATACATGTACACACGCACGCACACAAATGCAACGCGCTTCAACAGAATACATCGGATATCGCATATCGGCAAACAGGTTCAATAAACTATCTCTAGCTCATCCTTAGGCCACATGATCGATAGGCAAATAAATAACTATCGGTATGTATGTATGCAAATGTGTGCATGCACTATATTGACAGCTGGGAAGCTCCAGCAATGCAACAACAACAAGCCCAGCAGGCAGGGTTGTACATTTTTATTGCTGTCAAATGTGCGCAGAACAATGGAAGTCATAAATTGAAAATAGCAGCAGCAGTAGCTGGCAAATTACCCCCGGGGACAGCTTTCATGGGCTCTAGTGTGGGGGCATTTACAGCTACTGAATTTGGGGCAGCGATCGCAGCATTGACAAAAGCGCGCGCGCAGAGTGATGCGCGCGCGCGTTCGCTTTGCTGCGCTAAGGCAAAACCATACACATACGCGCTCATTTACATATGCATGTATGTGTGCATGTATAGAATGTGTATCTGCATGCGCATCAAAATGTTCATTTGTACGCATATTAATTTATTTAGGGCAGACAGCGCCAAGGCACACACACACACATTTATTGTTTTTAAATGCATATATATGCACACACATAAGCAAATGCGCTTGTTTACATGGCTGCTGCTTATTAATTGTTGTTATTTCACGCACATTCGCTTTTATCATCTTTAGCATTTCTTCGTGCGTAGCAACAAACAGCTAACACACACACACACACACATGCGCTCACAGAGCGGCAGCAACAATTGGCTCACAAATAAAAAATATAAAAAAAAGAAGAAAAGTAAAGGAAGAAAGAATGAAGAGCACAAAACAAACTCCGATGTCTGATGACAAATGCAATTTGGCTGCTGATTTTATGTGAATTTTCGACAATTGAATTGATTCATAAGCTTAACACACACACACATATATATTTATATATACACAGATTACGTATGCATAGATATAGGTATATATATTTTTAAATATATTGCCCGTATTTACTTTAAAAACGTTTGCCTTATTCGCTATGGCTGTCGCTCGCGCAGCGGCTTTTGACTTGCTTGCCCGACTGTTCTTTAAATACTAAAAAAATGATTGGGGGCCACAATCTACCTTGCGCCAACAGCGACGGCGACGACGACGCTTTTGTTGTACGCTACGTGCCTATCTTCTTCTTCTGCTCTCCATATCGCCATCACTTATGTAGCGCTCAGTTTTGACATTCTCTCGGCTGCGTGTGAGTGCACATGTGTGTGTGTGTGCGTGAGTGAGGCATATTCTCCCCCTATACGTTATTAACGTTGTTGTTCTTTGTATTGTTGCTATTTTTATTGGTTTGCTTTTGCAGCGTTATTCATAAAAAAAAATATTTTTTTCCACAACTCTCTGATATACACTACCTGGGGCAATTTCGACGTAAAGACCAGAACGATCTAGCAGATCGGGATTCCAAATTAATGCCACAACAATACCCGTAAGTGGTAAAATATATTTTTGAAACAAAAAAATGTATTCGTTTGTGCAGTTGAAAATTAAGGATATTCTCAACAGTTTTTATGATCACTTCAATTGCAAAAGAAAACGCAACATTTCAAATCAAATGTAAGCCAACGGTTTATCATAACAGCTGTGAAAATGTAACATATGTTGTTGCCAGATAGTCTGCTACTTAACTTAATGGTATTTTTATTTCGCTTAGTATTTTCTGGTATTGTGGGCTGCCAACTTGTTGCAAAATCGAAAATCTGCAAAAACGAAATTGCCCAACACTTACAAAATACATATATACATATACATATATACGTAACTCATACAAATTAATTGATGAAGGAAAATTGACAAAAACTAAATGTTAAAAGCAAAGCAAATGTAATTGAATATATAACGGCACATGCTTTAAACGAAAATGTTGCAAGTGTAAATATGTAAAACGCAACGCGTGTGCAGTGCAAGGCGAAACATAGCAAAGCAAACAATACCAGCAGGCAGGCAGGCAACCGCAGCAGCAGAAACGGCAGCAGTCAGAGGCCGAACTGACGTGAAAGAAAAACGACGCATGCAGAGGAAAAATGCCGCAGCCGTGTTGATAAATTAGCAAAAAGTGTTTGAATTGCAAAAGTAAGCGGCACAAATGTAAGGAAAACATAATTTTCCATAGTTTTATCATATTTTTTTACATGCAATTGGTGTTGGATGGCGAACGTCTATATATGTGTGTGTGTGTGTGATTTTTGTGCGGGTGTGAGTGTGAGTGAGCCGCAGCGAGAAAGAGAACGCACCATAGTTGTCTATGTAGCTGCTGTCGGTGTGTGTGGGTGTGTGTATGCGTGCGTGTGTGTGAATGTGTACAATGTGCAAGCAAAACAATTTATACATCGTTTAAAATTGTCCAACAACTTAAGTGGTCTCCCTACGTTAACTTTTTCATAAAAAAAAATAAAATACAAATCTATTTCTTACGGCTAACCAAAATTGCAGGCTATGTCCGCTGACAAGCGGCAACAACAAAAGCAGCGACGTCGATGACGACGTCGCAGCGTCGTGCGATTTGCTTTTTGTATGCGTTTGTCCGCACCCAAAAAAAAAATAATAATAATAATAAAAAATTAAGATCGCAGCAAATAAACAAAACTGAAATCAAATTAATTAACGAAATTTAACAGGCAGGCACAATAAGACAAATAATAAAAATATAAAAAACAGCCATTAAACTAAATTAAACAACAGCAACACACACAACAGCTAATTTAAACGCTGCTGCTAAGCTCCAAAGGCGCACAGCATGAAGAGTAAAGAGACAAAAAGACAGGGCGAATGCAAAACAACCGACATCGCACACACACACACACACACAGACACGCACAAACACAGATGCATACGCTTATTTATATACGTGCGTGTGTGTCTGTTTGTGCTGTGTGTGAGAACGAGACATGGCTGCCTGTGTGTGTGCGTGTGTGTGTGTGTTTGAAAAATAGGCGTGTTGCCGTTTCGCTTTTAAACAAAAAAAAAAAAAGCCAAACAAATCAAATAAATAGTTTTAACAATTAGCACGCTGGCAAAATGCTTAGCAAAAAGTTCATTCAAAACGCACGATTTTCGCTGCAACAACACAGATAAGAAACAATAAAAAAAAGACTGCCAAGTGCTGCAACCCTTTTTTCGTCTGCATGCGGCAGCTGGGCATTAAATAAGTACCGCTACATGCCCATTATGAATTACCCAGAGCCACATACATATACATATGTAGCACACATGCACGTGTGCTACTCTCTCTCTCTCACTCCCTTCTTTCCCTCGCACACACTCCTCTTACACCCTCCGCCTACTTTAGAACCTAAATTTTAAAGCTACGCATCAATAAGAATGTCAGATTTAGTTGAGAGCGTAATATCGTGCGACGACTCTCTTTAGCATTCAAATTGTCCGGATGATGGATGATGATGCACCGTTACTTGCCACTCTCAGTAAGTGGTCGAATGAGGGCTTTGGAGACATAGTGCCAAAAGAACGTAACAAAAAAAGAACAATACAAATTTCGCACATACTTTTGATAAGCGGCTTCTGGTCGGTCGGTCGGTCGGTCGTGTGGAATACTGAATGAGATATGAGCGTATGCATGTGTGTGTGTGTGGTGTGTGTGTGTGAACGAGTAGTGTGAATCACTTGATCGATTTGAATGCGACAACAAAAACATGAAATTCTCCTTTTTATCACATACACACAACACACGCATACACGCACGCACGTACACAGGCATAGTTTAGTGCTCTCACACACATACATATGTAACTTTCAATAACACTTTCGTTTGCAGAGCGCAGCAGAAGGAGATTCTTGTCTGTCCATTGAGGAAGCAGCGATATCAAGCCAGAACAACAGACCAAAAGGAAACACAAACAAGTTGACAGCTCTACTGCCGCGAGAGAGCGAGAGTGTGTGTTGTGTGTGAGAGAGAGAACGAAGGCAGGAAGGAAGGAAGCAGAGAGAGAGAGCGAGAGAGCGAGTGAGTGCTGGTTGGGGGCATAACATGAATAACTGAGATGCCATCGGCACGTCCTGGTAGTCTCAAAGATCCGGAAATAGCCGATCTATTCAACAAGCATGATCCGGAGAAGATCTTTGAGGATTTGCGCGAAATTGGCCATGGCTCCTTCGGTGCCGTCTACTATGCTCGCTGCAATCTCAACAAAGAGATTGTGGCGATCAAGAAGATGTCATATACGGGCAAGCAGAGCCAAGAGAAATGGCAGGACATACTCAAGGAGATACGGTATTTAACACACATACCTTTATATACATTCATATGTATGTTCCGTAATTTAATCCGATTACTTGCAGCTTCTTACGTCAATTGAATAATCCGAATACCATTGAATACAAGGGCTGCTACCTGCGCGAATCCACAGCCTGGCTGGTTATGGAATATTGCGTCGGCTCCGCCTCGGACATCATTGAGGTACACAAGAAGCCGTTGCACGAGGACGAGATCGCTGCCATTTGCCTGGGCGTGCTCAGCGGCCTGAGCTATTTGCATTCGCTGGGACGCATTCATCGCGACATCAAGGCGGGCAACATACTCCTCACGGACATGGGCGTTGTGAAGCTGGCCGATTTTGGTAGTGCCGCCATCAAGTGTCCGGCCAATAGCTTTGTGGGCACGCCCTATTGGATGGCACCGGAGGTCATTCTGGCGATGGACGAGGGCCAGTACGACGGCAAGGTGGATGTCTGGTCTCTGGGCATCACGTGCATCGAGCTGGCCGAGCGCAAGCCCCCATACTTCAATATGAATGCCATGTCCGCACTGTATCACATTGCACAGAACGAGTCGCCCACGTTGCCGGTAATTATCGATTAACCAAACAATTTTAATTATTGCGAAACAAATGAACTTATCGATCAGCGATTCAAATTCAACTCATTGATCATTGCTTGATTTATCGATCAACAATAAATGCATCGATATACGATTTATCGCTCAAAATGTGTGCATTCTGCAGAAGAACGTTCTGCAATTGAATTATTAACAAACAAATGAACTTATCGATCAGCGATTCTAACTTATTAACGTTTAAAATTCAACTTATTGATCATTGCTTTATTTATCGATCAGCGATTAACTTATAAACGATTCAAATTCAACTCATTGATCATTGCTTGATTTATCGATCAACAATAAACGCATCGATATACGATTAATTTTGCAGAAGAACGACTGGTCCGATACGTTCTGCAATTTTGTGGACCTCTGCCTGAAAAAGATGCCCGCGGAGCGACCCTCATCGGCCAAGCTGCTGCAGCACAGCTACGTGACGCGTCCGCGCTCCGAGACGGTGCTGCTGGAGCTGATCGCGCGCACCAAGTCGGCGGTGCGTGAGCTGGACAACCTTAACTATCGCAAAATGAAGAAGATACTCATGGTGGACACGTGCGAAACGGAGAGCGCCGTCGGTGACACGGACGACCAGCAGGACGATCATGCCGGCGGCGACAGCAGCAAGAGCAATAGTATTACTTCCGAACACTCCATACACTCGGTGGGTGTATCGGCGGCCAGTAGTCAGGTGGGATAGCAATCGATAGCATCATTGCTTGAGATCAAGATTTAATGCTTTGTATATGTCAATCTTGTAGAGCTCCTCGTCGAATTCGATACCGGCTGCAGCGCAGAATCATCACCATATCGGGGCGCATCATCAGCAGCAGGTGGCCGCTGCAGCCGTTGCCGCTGCCATGCACCATCAGCAGGAGCTGCAGAAGCAGCATCTGAGCAACTGGTCGAATGCCCAACAGCAGCAGCAGCATCAGCAATCGGGCGGCTCTGCCTGTGGCGCCGTCTCCCGCAATTCGTCGCGCCATCGCAATCTGCCGCCGCTGCCAAACATAATGCACACCATGAACAACAATGTGACGCCAACGAATTCGGCATCGGTGGTGCCGGCACCAGCGCCGCCGCTGTCGGTGATGCCGCATCTGGGTGCCGGCTTGGGGCACGGCAATGCTGGTGCTGCTGGTGGCATGGGCGGCGGCGGTGGCAGCAGCACGGGCGGCTCACCGGCGG